GATGAGGTCTGAGGGGTTTTTTTTGTTTTTCTTTAAAGGTTATTATTTATTTATTTGAGAGAGAGTACGTGTGAGAGAGAGCGGCGGGGGGGGAGTGGGAAGAGAGAGAGAGAGAGAAAGAGAGACCGGGCAGAGGGAGAAGCAGGCTCCCCGCTGGACGACGTGGGGCTCAATCCTGACCTGAGCCAAAGGCAGACACTTAACCGACGGAGCCATCCAGGCTCCCCGAGTTTTGTTTTTGTCCGTTTGGTTTGTTTGTTTTTGGACAATTTGGTGCCATTCCTCTTTGCTGGAGGACCACAGTTATAACCGCTGCCACAGCTACTACTTCTGATTTCAAGGGCTGTGCTGGGTGCTTTAGATACGTTTATTTCGATCCTTAACAAATGTTGTTTGTTTTTGTTTCCTGTTTTTTTGCTAAGGTAGATGTTAGTGTCCCTCTCTCAGGCATTTGGAAGCTGAGGATCAGAAAGGCTAAGTAATTTGTCCAAGGTAACACAGCAAGCTGTGACTGAGCTGGGATGTGACCCTGGATCTGTCTGATGCCCTTTCCCTGGACTGTGCTCTCTCTCTTTCCCTCCTGGGTCTGAGACTCTAGGCCCCGAGTTTAGGCCAGAGGGGTCAGCTCCTCCACCCTTCGGCGCCTGCACACCCTGTCTGAGTCAGTCAAGTGCCGGGCTCTGATCCTAAGTGTGCCTTCCTTCTTCCCATCAGGTCAGGACCCTGAGAGGCCCTGGGTTGTTTTTCCTCAAGAGACGACTGGAGCTTTGCAGGACATTCTACTCTTCCATGGAGGGCTTCACAGAAGGGCTGTGCTGGGTGCCATTAGCCAGACCCTGGCCCCCTCGAGTTCTCAGATGCTTGCAGTCCTCCTGGCTGCTAGCAAACAGCCGTTTTGCCCAAGCTGCTGATGGGGTGGGGACACGAGCGGCCGCCGTGGCTGTCCGTGGACAGGTGGGCTGGCTGGAACCACATGCTCTATTAAGTGGATGTCTTTTATGGTCTGGGTTGATTGTCCCAGACAAATAGTGAGCTTTTTATTATTCCTGGGATTTCCTATCTGTTTATGGCTCTGGCTCTTTGAGGGGAATCGCAGACCCGTTGTAAGGACCCCTTGTGAATTGCTGGCTTCATGGAAACAGCTCCGGGAGACCTGGACTCGGCTGGAGGGGTCACAGACACCTTTCAAGCTAACACATGCCTTCTGTGCTGGGGCTGAGGACGGCCGGCAATGTGCTTTCTATGGGACCCTCTATCTCATCCCGGGAGACCCGTGTTATTGTTCCCATTGAACCGATGAGAAAACAGAGGCCATCCCACTGGCGAGTGGCAGACTGGCACTTGAGCCAGGTTTATGGCAAATCTTAGGTCCTTTCCTCCAAGACTGGGATTACACTCAGAGCAGTGGGCACCTCTCAGGGCCCTGGGGGGAGGGCTCTTTCTGAGGGGCACTGTTTAGAGAGGCAGCACACAAGAAGGAGCTGGGCATCAGAAGACCTGGGTTCTAGCCCTGGCTTAGCTACTCACGCGCAGTGTGACTTTGGTGAAGTCACTTCCCCGCTCTGGGCTGACTTAGTTTCCCCACGTGTAAGACAAGGCTCATGTTCTCTAATGTGACTCCTGACTCTAGCATTTGATAATTCTGCAACGAGTGGTAGGTGGGGATGGTCAAGAAGCTCTCGAGCTTTCTGGTGGTCTTGGTTCAAAGACGGTGGTAAACGGGGTGGTGCCAGAGGTGGTAAGACCCCATAAATGGAGGGGTGCTGGGGAGGAAAGGCAGAGGTGCACTCAGGGGTAAGGGCTCGGGGAGAAGGGATCTGCTAGGCTCAGGAAGCCTGGAGGACCCTCTGCTCTGTGCCCCTCACATGGGCCCTTGGCCAAGTCCTCTCTGGGTCTCAGTTTATCTGTGTTGTGAGGTTCAGCAATGATGCAAGGTCAAGTGTTGAACACTTAGCACAGGTGCTTGATACATCACCCCTATTTTCCTTTTAACTAAGGGTACAGTCTCAGTGCGTAGGCGGCACATCCCTCATACAAATTCTACGTAACTTCCAAGGTGAGACTGCCCTAAGACCGTGTGTTCCCTTCCCGCACTGCCGCTCTGCTGGTTTTTCGAGTCCTTCCTGGTGTCTAGCCTCAGTCTCTACTGCTGCCCCTTCCCCTTGCAGGGTTACCTGAGCGGGCGTATGATTCGTGGCACGTCTTGGTGATCTGGGCTGCGAGCTCTCGGTAGTGGGCCCTCTTTTCTTCCTTGGCATCCTCAGCGCCGAGGGCGATCATGCCCCCAGAGAAACAGGCCAGGTGCCCCATCTTGTGGTCCAGAATCCCCCCTCGCCACTCGGCAATGTAGGTCAGCCCCCCAGGAGAGACATTCAGCAAGTAGGTCTCTATTGCCTGGGAGCAAGGTGGGAGTTGGGCGGGGGGGAGGGGCGTAGGAGGGGGACAGAGAAGGGAGGGGGAGAGGATGGAAAAATGAACATTTTGCAGACAGCAGCGAACACAGCTCTGCTGAGCCCTCCATCCCAGGCAAAGGAGGTCCTTGGCCTCCGCTGGCGGCTGGTGGTGGTCCCTGATGGGGCCGGTAGGAGGTTCTGCCACTCACCTGACTGAAGCCTGGTGCCTGCTGGGGGCTTGGACACAAGGCAGCTCCCTGGAGTGAGTCTCTTATTTAGACTTTTTAAAAATATATTTTATTTGTAAGTAATTTCTGCACCCAATGTGGGGCTCAAACTCACAACCCTGAGATCAATGAGAGATACATTCTCTCCCAACTGAGCCAGCCAGGCGCCCCTCTTATTTAAGCTTTTATGTCTTTTATGTACAAAGATTTAAAAAAAATCTTTGTAAAATCTTATCCATCCTCCACAATGTCCTCTGTTAGGGAATCTTAACCTGGAGCCCAGCTGGCCTGTGGATGGGCTCCAGGGGGTCCAGAAGCCACTCAAATTGTATGTGACACTCTCCTGTATGTGCATTTCCGTGGGAAGAGGGTCCATATATTTTACCTGGTCCTCAAAAGGGACCCACAGAAAGTTAAGAGCTGTTCTCTACAAGCCCTTATCATACACCTTCTTATTTAATGCCCATGACAAGCCAGGCACATGCCCTCTACAGACAAAAGGGTTGAGTGGCTCATCCCAGGTCACCCAGCCACGCTGGGATTTTGACAGGGACCCCCCATGCCCAAACTGGGCATCTTCTACTACCTGACGGCGGCTCCTTCTGGTAGCAAGGGGCTTTGAGAACCCCCCCGTCCCCAGCTTCCATGGGAGATGATATTGCTGGTAAAGACTCCAAGGAAGTTGGGGGAGACAGGTGTCAGGCCACGGTGCCCCCCCCCCCCCGCCGTTAGTCCCCAGGAGCCCTGGAGACAGAGGTGATGGCAGTGTCTGTGGCTCCTGGTCCAGGGCCGGGCCTCTGGGGCCCCCTGGCCAGACCTCTTCCTGCATTCTTGTCCCTCCAATCTATTCTCCAGGGCTGGTCCTGGACCTCCGCTCTCCGTAAATAACAGTCCAGTTTAACGTGATGCCAGAGACGTGGCTCCCAGGAGCAGATTCCTCGGGTTCAAATCCCACCTCTGTCAGTTCCAAGCTGTGTGACATTGGGCGGGTTCTATGGGCTCTCTGTGCCTTGATTGCCAAGTAAATGCATGAAATGGGGGTACGAGCATGAACCACCTCACAGGGCTGTGAGGATCAACGGGCTGTGTGTGCACAGCTCAGCATACTTGCTGGCTCAGCATCCGCGGTGCACGTTGCCTACCACAGTTCCGCTCCAGTCTGTCCCCTGCCCCAGCCTCTTTGCAGTCACACCCCTCTCCCCCCATCGAGTATTCGAGTTTTCCATGAGCGGGGGCTCGGGGCAGGGGATGAAGCCCCCGAAGACACACAGCCTGGACCCTGCCTCGGGGAGCTCACCTGTTAATAGAGATTTCCAACAAAATCAAACACACGCGGGAATTACGATTTGTGATCCGCATTTTGGAAAGAAACACGCACGCTCCGCCTCGACTGCACCGCCCCAGCTTGCCTTTGCGCATGCTCCACCGTGCGCCCCGTTCCAGGCCACTGCTGCCCGGGTACTCGCCTCCCGTTGCCTTTCTACCTGGTGCTGTCCCCACCTTGTGCATCCTTCTCTGTGTGTTCTGTGGCAACCCTGTCTCTCTCCCAGGACTCTGAGTGCCGCCTGACAGCAGAAGCACCACCCTCACTCTCCAGCCAGGGCAGGCATACAGAAGGTGCTCAAACAACATTCGCTCTTGGATCTCTTTGTTCCTCTTCCCCCTCCTGCAAGGTCCCGGCTGATGGGCTGGCTGCAGGACCCTCACTGAGTAGCAGGTGGGGAAGCTCTGATGATGTGACCTGCGAGAGCACTCGTGCCATGGGGGGCGGAGCACTGAGGGGCCTGGGGAGCCGCCCACTCCCGGGCTGGGTCTGCTCTGCGTGGGCCCCCGCTCCTGGGCAGAGCCGGGTCCACGCAGGTGGGGAGGAGGGGTGGTAGGCTAGTCCAGGGTGCAGAAATCTGGTTTAGTCACCCGTTGTGGACACTTGGGGTAGAACACAGACATCCTGGGGAGATCCCATGAAGCCTCGTATGATAGCCCAGAAACTGCCCCTTCAAGACTGGCTCCCATGGGTTATTTCCATTTGGGGCTAACCCCAAGCTAAGTAATCGTGGTAAAGAGGAAATGACAGACCAGTCTCTCTGTGAGGACACAGCTGAGACAAGCAGATAGGTGCGAAGATTAAAAATAAGGCTTTCTAAAACTCTAAGCAAAGCACAAGACAGCACAGGCTGGGAACTGACCAGTTAGGCTTAAATCATCCAGGAGACGAGCAGAGCTGAGGGGGAATACAGAGACCCGGGCTTGAATCCCAGCTCTGCAATGTGAGCCTTGGGCGATTCTGGGCAAATTATTTCCCTTTTCTGAAGACTCCCTTCCTCATCTGTAACATGGGAATAATTCCTGGGATGGCCATGAGGTTATTCAAAGACTCTGGCTTCCTTTGCCTCTTGGAGGGGACCCCACCTGCCCCACTCCCCAGAGGGATTTTCGGCAAGCCAGGCTCCTTTGTGGTTGGCAGGAGCACTGGATCTGGAATCAGTCGGATCTGTGTTTGCACCCTGACTTTGACACTGGCTGCCGTGTGACCTCAGTTTCTCATCTGTAAGATGGGGCTAAATAAGACAAGGCAGTCAGGGCACCTGCCTGGAAGATGCCACCGTGACACATGCTCTCCCCGTTCTTCTTTTTGCCCCTCCCCCTGTGACCTTCAGGGGTGTGCCCCGTGGGCCTAAATCATCCCCACTCACCGCAGCTGGACGGTGGTCTCACCGCCCCCCCACCCCCACCCCAGGGCAGCTTTCCAGACTGTTTCCTGGGCCCTGGTCCAGAGGTTCTGATGTAGCCTTGTCAGGGTGCAGCCTGAGCAATGGGATTTTACAGCTCCCCCAGTGATTTTTAATGTGTGGACAAGGTTGAGAATTACCAGAATATTCTTCAAAGCCCCAAACTTGCCAGAGGCCAGTCTTTACCCAGGGTCAGACATACTCCAGGCTATTCACTGGGGATATCAAATGAGGGGAGCAAAGCCAAGTTCTCTCCTGTTCAATCAAGTGCTTTCCATAAAGCTCCCAGTTTGCTTAAATAATTCATGGCCATTTCTTCCCTTGAAGCCTCAACCACAGTGTGCCCTGAGGGCAGGAAACCAGGCTGCTTGCTAACTTCATGTTTACCCCGCAAGGAATGGAGGAAAGGGCAGAAAGGCCTTTGCAGGCAGCACACTCTGTGTAGGCTGAACACTGATCCCCTGACAGCAGACATAGGCTGTGGTCTGAGCTCAGCCGAAGCTGAAGCTGGGGCCGAGACGCAGACAGAGATGGGACTGGAGTCCCAGTAATGGCTTCATGACCAAGGTCTTGGTGCTGGGGACCTGGGCAGGGAAAACTCATCACCAAGCCCACAGGTTAAAAGGTCCATGACTGTGGAGGCCTGTTTCAATAGGCTTCCTTTAAGCACTACCATTCCCGGCCAGATTCATGCAATCAGGGGGTAGTTAGAGCTCATTCATCCATCTATTCAACAGTTCATACTCATCCATCCACCATATCTACCCACCTATCCATCTTTCCACCTGCCTATCCACCTATCCACCCATCTATCCTCTACCTACCTACCAATCCATCCTTCCACCCACACATCCACCCACCCACCCATCCGTCCATCTGCCCATCCATCCATCTGTCTATCCATCCATCCTTCCACCAACCCATCCGTGCACCCATCAATCCTTCTACCACTGATCTACCATTCCCTCATCCATCCATCTATGCATCCATCCATCCATCCATCCATCCATCCATCCACCGACCCATCCCTTCAGCAATTGTGTGTTCATCTGTTCACAAAATAGCTATTGTACACCACCTATGTATTGGGCACTGTTTTAGGAGTGAGGCAGACAGGGTGAATGACTAGACAAGATCCTTGCTCCCAGATAGCTCACATTCTACTTGGGGAAGACAGACAATGAACAAGTAAACAAACATATGCATGGGGTAATTTTTGATGCTGATGAAGGCAAAGAAGAGAATAAGTCTGGTGTATATGACAGAGAGAGGCTGTGAAAGGCCAGTTTCCAGTGGCATTTGACTTGACCAATAAACGGGGCCCAGCCATTTGAATGCTATTCCACGTAGAAAGGACAGCAAGTACAAAGCCCCAAGGTGGGAATGAGTCTGGTGTGCCTGAGGAAGGCTGGGGACCAGAGCTGGGAGTAAAGGGGAAAGAGTTCAAGGTGATTGGTAGGTCTAGATCAGGTGGGCAAAGGGGAGGAGTCTAGCTTCTTCCAAGTGCAAATGAGGAGCCAATGAGGTAGGGACATGAATTTCCAGTGCTTCTGGCTGCTGTGTGGAGGGAGAACCGACTCCAAAGGGGACAGGAGCAAGAATTATACTTTAGTGGTCACAAGACCTCAGACCAAGGTGGTGGCAGAGTAGATCCAAGCTGCTCAACTTACTTTAAGGGGAAACTAAGGCCTGGAGCCTACCCAGTGCCTTTTCCTTAGCTGGGCTCAGAAGTATCTAGTGATGGGCTGATGGGATTCCATAACCCCCTTGCAAATAGCTCAAGCTAACCACCTTCCTCTTCCATCCTAAAGTCTCCCTCTCTTTGGAGAGACTCATCTCAGCCTATTATCCCTTGTTGAGAATTCACACCCTGTAGACCGACCAGCAGTGGTGAGGGACAGTGGGGGGAACACTGGGACGGGCTCAGATCTGGCTCTAGCTCCAGCTCCGCCAGCTCTGTACTGTGTGGCTTTGAGCAAGTGCCTTCCCCTCTCTGGGCCTTGGTTTCCATCCACGTAAACAGAAGGAGCAGAACTGGATGCTCCAGTGAGGGAGGCCCCTCCCTGCTTGCACATGCTAATTACATCACCCTTGGTTCTGCAGGGAGATGGCTGAGGATCTTGCTTTGGCAGCCTCATCTGGGGGCTCCCAGGCCAGTGTCTGGCTGTGTTCTGGGCTCTGACACATTCACGGAAGCCCAGACACCATGATTTCCGAATCAGACTGACTGCCGCTTCCTGTGAGACCTCGGACAAATGGCTTTACCTCCGTGAGCATGGGTTTTGCATCTGTAAAACGAGGATGCTAACATGGCCCTAATTTCAAGGCATTTGAGTACAGTCACAAGCTGTGTGTGCAAAGCACGTGGCTGGGAGGGAGACTCTCTTGTTCTTCCAGCCAGCTCGCCACGGAGGAGGGGTGGGCAAGGAAGGCCCTGGCACTCAGGGGTCAGTGCCAGAGCTGGTGGTGAATGACCAACTGAAGTCTTACCTCCAAGGCTTCGTAGTACATATCTTTAGCCTCCACATCTGTCTTGGCCGACATCAACCAGGATTTGATCAAATATTCATAAAAACTGTCCCCGAGGCCTCCAACCGAGACGTGGTCTGGGAGGAGAGAGAGGACAGAAGCATTATCTCCAATTGCTGAGGCTGTCGGGCAGGCCTCCCCAAGGGAATGCACCCAGGCAGCGAGTCTCGTCCGCCAGCCTCAGTGGCCCCCCCAGGGCCATGTGCGGGGGAGGGGGGAGCAAGCCTTTAACCAGCAGCCTCTGAGCCCTGCAGGAACAGGGGCAGAAAGGAAGCCCCAGGCTGAGACTCAGGGAACCCAGGGCCATCCTGAGCATGATCACCTGGCGCATGAGTGCACGACTCACCCGGGTGTATAAATCATGTCGCTTTAGCAGGCCAAGGATGGCAGGGCCTCTGGTTATTAACTGTAAATGAGTTGCATTTCTTTAAAAAGATAATCTGGTGGCAGGGAGTTCAGAGATTTTTATTACCCAGTGACAAACATGGTAATTAATGCTGGGCAGGTTCATAAAAGGCCACGGAAAGGAGGAACAGGAGGCTTAATTTAGTCAGAATACAGAGCCACTTGGAAAAACCGAGCTTCCGTTGAGCAGACTAGGATAAATGGAGTTTCCAAGGAGAAGGGGTCGGGAAGAATTGGGTCTGAGGAGCCCGTCTTTGCCCTGGTGGCATCTGCCTGGAGTCGCCCATGGACAGGACTGAGTGACTCCACCCAGTGCTATCCCTGGAGAAAGACAGGTCAACCAGGATCACTTAACCAGAGAAGAAAGACATGGAAAACACTTCACTCACATGCTTTAAAAATTAACAACAGGGAAACACATAGGCATTTAATAGATATAACAAAGAGCAACTCCAGTTCCCTGTTAAGATGCACTTAAGCAGAGAGACAGAGAGAGGAAGGAAAATGGGGGCAGATTAAGGCGGGGTAGGGTTGGTGCGGAGGGTATTTCCAGCTCCTCTGGAGAAAGTGGGGATAGGAAGAGAAGGGAGGGAAGGTAGGTGGGGGGATGAGAGAAAGAAACAGAGAATCCATCAAAAGCTACCATTTCTCCAGGGTCCACTGTGGGCCAGGAGCTTTACTGTACTATCTAGAACAACCTCCCAAGAATCCTGCAAGGTAGGCATTGCCAATCCCTTTCCCAAATGGGAAAACTGGGTGGGCCTACATAGCTCCTCCAAGGCCCCCAAGGTGGCAGAGCCCTCGCTTTCTGCTGCTTTACAGCCAACCAGAGCATGAAAACATGCTTCTTCTATGCCTAGAGATAGAAAGGACAAGTGTGAAGACAGCGGGACCAAAAGTCAGAGGGTAAAGACAGGTGAGGACCAGGAAAGTGGGCTGAGAGGAATACCCAGAGTAAACCAGCCCTTCCAGCTCCCTCCAGCCCCATAAATAAATCATGGCCCAGCAAGGGCTCAGGACTTGCAAAATTGGAACAGACCAGAGAAATCCTGAGCTTTGGGGAGGCGCGGGAGGGGGTCCGTGCAGGCTGGACCCTGCTGTGTGAAGAGACGTTCACCAGCACAACATACCCCCCGACCCCCCCTTGCTACATGGAGGACACGGCACAAAGGGAGGCGCAGGGGCATGCCAGGTCCAGCGTGCTGATGGCGTGTCCGAACCTGGAGCAGGAGGTCTGTGCCGAGCAGGGGTTGGGGAAGGCTGCAAGTCAAACTGGGCCAGCCTCCCCTGAGGGGACCTCCCACAGCTCAGAGCCCACAGAAGAGGCACACAGGCACGCAGTCAGGGGCCCTGCCATCTCCACACTCTTCCGGGCCTGCCGCCTGTCACTGTTTTCTCTGCCATTCCAGACACTCCTAGCCCCCTGCCTTCCCACTTATCTCTCACCTGTGGTGACCCCTTCCCCGCCCTTGCATGGCTAGCACTTCCTCACTGCTACACCCCAGCTCGGGCATCCTCTCCGCAGAAAGGCCTTTCTCAGTGTTCTCCTAAGCCTGCCCGCCGTCCTTCCCTACATGAGGAGCGAGTGAGACAGGGTGCACGCAAATCTGGCCCCACGGCGCCTCACGTGGGAAGCGCTCCGCGGCAGCCGATCCTTCTGGTGCTGGGCGTGTGCCTTGCCCTTGGCGGCTCCCAAAGCGGTGGTGTCCGTATCTGCTTATGGGTCCACCCCCCCCACCAGGCTGTGGGCTCTCTATGGGGAGGGGCCGTGTAGGATTCACATTTTATGCCCACCGCGGACACCCAATAAGTCCAGAATGGAAGAAAGAGAGGTTTGAGCTGTGCTGGGAAGGGCCTCGAATGCCAAGCCAATGTGACCACAGCGTGTGCATGACGTGGTTAAGGGCGCGGCCTGGCAGGTGTGCAGGAGAGGGGAGCCAGGCCCCCGGGAGCTCCATGCGTGTTTGCGACAGGACACCCTCCTGGGGCTGTGTGAACGATTCTCCTTTGGAGGTCCCACCACTTCCTGGCTAGTGTGCGTCTGCGGTGTCTACCCCCTGAAGCGTGTGGTACACCGAGAGCCCAGAGTGGGAACTGGAAGACACAGATCTGCCATTAGCTCAGGGCAAGCCATTCTCCTCTCTGGGCCTCCAGCTTTTGGTCAATAAAATGCAAAAGAGGAGCGTGCCGCCCTCTGAGCTCTAAGTGGCTCTGTGAGGATGGGTCTCGTCTGTGCTAGGTACCGGCAGAAACCTGGTGGACTTGTCCTGGCTGTGAGTCCTAGTGGCAGGAGGGTCTTGGCCTCCTCTGTTACCCTGCAGCTCAGCTTCCAGCAGGAGGGGGGAGCAGCAAGAACATAGGCCTGACACCAGGACACAGCCCCAACTCTCCCTCCCCAAGCTGCAGTTTCTGTGGTTGCAAATGGGCTAACCAAGGATTCAAAAAGAGGAAAGAAGGTGAACATACTTAGCGTATGTAAGTTGGGAATGTTATCGTCTTTTGGAAAAACACACAATAACCAAAAAATCCCAGTGAAACCACAGAGAACCTGAGATGGGCTGGGGTGCCAGATCCGGGGGGTTGGGGAGGGGAGGCAGGCAGGTGCCCAGATGAGCAGGACTTTCTAGCTTTCCCTCTGTTCTTAGCAGGCCTCAGATTCATATTTTATTAATATGAAACAATTTTCCATATGTGACTGACCTTACCCAGGCCCGCAACCTGAAAAGAAAGTTCTGCTTCTCAGGGGGGTGGGGGTGGGGCGGCTCCCTGGAATTTGCCAAAGTAGCTGCTCAGACAGGGAAGCCACACCCCCTCTGCCTCTAGAAGGCTTCTGCTGTGTCGTCCGGGAGCAGTTAAGGCCAGCAGCCGGGTAGTTTATCTCTTTACCCAGTCAAGCCTCGCAATTAAAAGCAGTAACGGTTATTGAACTGTCTTCCCGTGGCCATAATCTGTAATTCAAACCTTCATTTTCTCCCTGCACTTTTGGATTTGGCAGTGTGCTTTCGTTAAAAATACTTTGTATTTCTGTAAGTGGTTCTTGCAGGAGGCTACTTGGGGGTGAGGTCATCACTGGGGAAAATTCCTGGGTCACATTTTCTGGGCCTCCCGGATCTGCAGTCACAGAGGCCCAGGGTTGCAAGAATAGGCCTCTGCAGTTTCTCCCCCGTGTCCCTGAAGGCTGGCCCGGCCTCCAAGCCCTGCTTGCATACCTTTACTGATGGGCACTCGTTACCTTTTGGCACAACACATGTCATCTTTGGAAGATGAACTGAAATCTGTTTCCTGCAGCTTCTGACCATTACTCCCACATCCCTCCGTGGTGCACAAAAAAGCTATCTTGGGGTCTTCTCCCATTTGCAGGAGACAAAACCAAGGCTTGAGGAGATAAAGTGCATTTCCCACAGTCAGGCAGTAATTAGTCTCAAGTACTTTGCTTCTGAGTCCCTTGCTGATGTCATAACAAATAGGGCTGGAGGCAGGGGAAAGGGAGAGGACTCCTTGTTTCAGCAGGAGTGGTGGAGGTGGGGGAGGGAGCCCCTAGAGGCAGGGCCCAAGGAACCTGTGGCCACCAATTCCCTCTGTGACCTCATGATCAGGGCCTCTTGACAGGGGTGCAATCCCAGGGTCCTGGGAGACTTTTCCACACCCTCCAGCCTACAAGTCCTCCTGACCCCATTCTGTTTCGGTGGGTGGAGCTGGGGGCTGTAACTGAGGCTCCCCAGTGACCCACACCCGTCTGGTTGAGGCACAAGCCTCTGAACAGAGAACAGAACTCCCAGGACCCATTCTGTCAGGTGCAAGATACAGCAGTAAATTCACGATTTTTGTATTGCTATATAGTTAGGCTCTGCTTAAAAATTAAAAAAAAAAAAAAGGATTAAAGTTGGAGGTGGGGCACCCGATCCTGGGAGAGGATGCGTGGTCTTTCCCAGGGCCATTTCTGGAGTGGACAGACGGTTCTATGTGGAACACCCCCACAAGTCTGGGGGACGGCCAGAGATGCTTCAGTGGTGCCTTAAGAGATGGAAGCCTGGAGACAGGGAGTGTGCAGGGGATGCAGAGGGCAGGCCTCGCAAGGGGGCAGCCACCACACCTGTCACAACAGCCCACCAAACACGAGGACAGTGAAGACCCCAGGACGCCTGGCAGGGGGGGTGGGGTCCGGGAGCACAGAGCAAAGGCCTCACGGGCCTGCGGCTCTGAGAAACGTGACCCTGCTCACTTGGCCCGCACGCCTTGCATGGGATGCTGACCGCAATCAGTGGAAGGCGGGGCGGCGGCATCTCCATACTCACGTTGCATCCAGTTCCCGCTCACTGGGCTGAGGAAGTTGGGGTAGAGGCCGAAGGGCTTGTTGATCTTCCTGAGGACTTTTCGGATGTTCCTGACCTGCCAAGAAACGGACACCAGACGCACCTTCACTTTCTGGAAGGAGCCACCAGCTCTTAGCCACCGCCGCGGAAGGAGGCAGCTTGTTCGGATCCGAAGAGGACACCACTCAGACGAGGCAGGACGGAGAGCTGACAACAGCAGGCCCCAGCCCGGAGGTGGCGAGATGGCCACGCCCTGGGCCCACGGGTGGGGCACTGCAGGACACGGCCACAGGGGAGCCTGGCCACCACCTTGGGGCCCTGCGAGGTCCCCACGCTCCCCTCACTTCACCCCTTCCTCACGGTGCCTTGCTTTGGGGCATGGGCATTTTCAGGAGAGGGGGCGGTTCCTATAAGCGATAGCCGCTCATTTTTAAGTGCTAGGTAACACTGCCTCTTTGATAGGTCAGAAATTGTCAATCCTGGCAATTTCATAACATTCAGCCTAGAAACATGTTATTGTATCGGACACCATAGAACCATTCCAGAGGAAAGGCCTGGGCTCCTCAACACCCCTGCCCGAACAACAACAGCTGTTAACATTTCTCAGTCCTTCTGAGCCAGACCCATTACATACATCACCTCGGACCCTTAGAACAACCCATCTGGTATTATCTCTGTGTAACAGGTGACAAACCTGAATCCCAGAGTTTCAGTGGCATGCCCGTGGTCACTCAGTTCGTAAGTGGCAGAGCCAGGACACAAGGCAGGGCTCGGCTGGCCACACGGAGTAGCCCTTGTGTCCAACATGGGTCAGGGCAGGCCGTGCAGTCACATGTCGCAGAGGCTGCCTGGCTGGAGCAAGAAGAGGCTAGATTTGCAACCTTTGGGGCTACAAAGGGTGAGAAGCAGGAAGGCTTTATCCCTTGGGGTCTGCTCTCTGGCAGTACATGAAATGCTTCCAGCACAGAATCCACTAGAACAGCAAGGCCCTCGGGGACGGTAGTATATCATGCTTGTAGATTTATCTACAAGGCAAGGAGCAGGGAGAGGAGCCTTTTAGCTGTCAGACCTTTCTTTCTAGGGGACGGCACTTAGCTTTACCACATGAGATTTCATATCCATTTATGTTAACGGAGTCCATTATAGGGGACAGGAATGTACTTGCACCTGAGTTATTCTCGACCGTCCTGGTAGTGAGCAGTGAAGCAGGCTAAATTAGCTCCCCTGGAGGGTACGGGTGCTTCTAGAATTTGGGCCAATTTGTTGACTGCCAATAATCGCCTCTGTGGGAGGCATGATTGGGGGATGAAAATAGCCGGAGAATATAAATGTAGAGGGAGACAGAAAGACAGGCAGATGGACTCGAGAGGAAAAGCCTGAAGCCTGCCATACTAATCTGGTCTTGAAAGAATGTGGGCTTCGGAGTCAGAAAGTCCTGGGCTTGAATTCTAGCTTTATCACTTAGCAGCTGAATGACCCAGGACAAGAGACTGAACCTCTGAGTCTCAGTTTCCTCCTCTGTAAAATGCGGATAACGGTAAGACCCACCTCAGGGTTTGGAAGGGTGGTTAGGGACACTATAAGGTACCCAACAAATAGTAGGTGCTCGGGCAGTGGTACCTAGTTTGTCCAGGCTAGCCAGGGACTAGAGTGAGCTCCCTGTTCCGCTCCAGTGTGAGCCAGTCACAACCTTCCCAGGGGAGTTTGACTCAAGAGCAAAGGAAACAGGGAGGCTGGGGGAAGGAGGGTTTGGGAGGCAGGAAAATGGATCAGTAAATAAGACCCATCAGGAAGTGGGATGGAATTTCTTTCATGAACTTGCAAGGTGGGGTGTCACACGGTGGCAGAGTCCTCCCAGTACAGGCCCTGAAGGCAGTTCTGACATGACAGGCTATTTAAGGGGGGTAGTGAGCCCCAACCCAGAGGAAGTGATCAAGGGGCTGAAAAGCTCTCCTTGAGCTTCCCAAGAATGCTCGGGGGGATTCCCACACTGAATAAGCAGTGCTCTTAAATTCGGCATCAAAAAGCACTTGGGTGCTTATTAAAAATGCAGATTCCCGGGTCTGGGTGACACCCAGAGATGTGTTTCCTACAGGCACGCCGGGTGATGCTTTGAGGCTGGTTGGTGGACACACGACTGAGAGCCGCTGGGTGGAGGTGTGAATCTATGATCTCCCAGCTCCCTTGGCACCCCAAGAGTCTAACCCTCAGAGAAGGGAAGGTTTTGGGAGTGGAGGCGCCTCCAAAGGGATATTCTTGGAGGCGGGACTTCATCTCCCTAGGCAGGGCTCAGGAAGGGACAATTGCTGATGGAGCCCGAGCGCCCTCTGAGGGTGGTGTGTGTACCCTTGCCTTCCTTGGGTTTAGGGTTAGACCCGCGCGGAGGCACTTCCAGACGGTGGGACTGCTGAGGGCTGTCAAAGTGGAGGAACTGCTTCTTCTGGAGGGCTCCACAGAGGGGCAGGAGCAGGCAGCTGTCAGGCTGGCCGACAGCCTGGATGCTAGCTCTCAGCACCCCTTGCGGCCTGAGCCAGCCCGGTAACAATGAGGACGAAGAGACGTGTGCCTCTGCTGTCGTAGAGTGAAATCGCTTTGCCAACCTGCTGACAACATGAGCTAGGCGGGCATCTGGAAGGAAAAGGCAGCAGATCTCACATGAAAAAGTTAACTGGCTCTGGAAAGGGGACTTTTGCACCCGGTGGCCAATTCCTGCCAACGCCCGCGGGTGCCTGGATTTCAGTTCCTGTGCTCTCTCCAGATTCCACGTATGCGTGGTTGCCCCGGTGAAAACCTCGCCGGCAGCCTCCTCTCCTCCCTGCCCCGGCAGAACCCTGATTACCCACTGTGCGCACCTTCCTGCCATCTGGCTTCGGGCACGCTCAGGGCTTCCACAGCTGTATTAGCGGTGGCTGGACGTGCCCCCCACCCCCCCCACCCCCACTGATCGGGGACCTGCTGAGTGTGGAGAAGAGGGAGACACCATTCGGGGGTGGGGGGAGCAGGGAGAACACTTGCCTTTTCTGCGAAGACCTGGTTGCCAGAGAGCTCGGTGAGGTGTAAGAACTCCAGGTGCAGGGATCCAAACTCAGCCAGGATGCTGCTGCTCCCAGCCATGGCCCAGCCCCAGCTCCTGTTGGAGCCACTGTAAAGAGATGGAAGCACCCCCTGTCACCCCGCTGCTGGTGAGGCTGGCTCCCCTGCTGAGAGTAACCGGTGTGTGGGGGGGAGATCGCGCAGTGGGGGGGCACCCACTCGTGCCAGGTCCCATCCTGGGCGCTCTGGCCACCTGGTCTCCGTTGCTCCTCCCTGGGAGTCAGCACCAGTAACAGCCCCAACTGCTGATGAGGACACAGAGGTCACCTGCACTATTCTTTGTTTCTATCGTCAAGCAGCCCCTGGGAGATGTGTGGGCTCAAGGACGGTAGCAGAGCTGCCTCGGTGGCCAAGACCCAGCACCCAAGTTACGCTAAATTTACAGGTGATAGGGACAATGCCGTCAGGGACCACAAGGACCCTGCAGAACGCTTTCTGTCCTCTGGCTGAAGGCAATCCGGCTGCCTCACAGTCTGTGGCCCCGTGTGCGCGGGGCACACCGCTGTGGCTGGGGTCGGAACGGGGCAGACGAAAAGCGGGGACCCTACCTGGCTCTTTCCCTCTCCTCACACTGTCAGTGCTGCCCGAGGACACACAGTGGCCCCTCCTGGAATTTTGTGGACCCCACACCTGACGGGCAGGTGACTCTGGTACGACCACGTGCCCGGAGCTGCAGGCTCCCTGGGAGGCCCGAGGTTAGGAATGAAACGAACAGCGGCTCTCGGAGTAAAGGTCTCCTCAGCTGTTAGTCATGTGTGTCTCAGGAACACCTCAGACAGATCCTCGCTGGAGAAGGCTGTCTCAGTCCCGCTTCCAGGTCCGGGGTGCTTCCAAGGAGGAAGAGCGCAGAGGTGGGGTCTCAGGAAATCCTCCCACTTGCCCCTCTCACAGATGAGGAAAACAAGGCCTGGGATGGTGATGTCACCCACTCGCCATCACACAGCACGTGGAGCAGCTGGGACTCAAGGCTGGCCTGACACCAGAGCTGGTCCTAACCACTATGTGGCCTGCCTCTCCTTAAATTAGATAATAAGCAAGGACGCTGCCTTTCCAGGTGTTTTCACTTAAATCTCTATAGCCAGGGGGCCAGCATCAAGTTTCTTAGCTGACAGGCCTTGGGCAAACCATCCCCACCTTATGCACCTGCATCATCAAACTGGGCGAGGGTAATTGGTCCTGGTCTCTGTTCCTAGGGCTTTTGTGGGGTGAAGAGGGAAAAGAAAAGCACAGAATGGGGGTGTCCTTTCTGCCTCCTCTCCCCGTGCCTCAGTTTCCTCATATGTACCGTGATGATCTTTCCTGTGGGACATTTAGGACAACCAGGGGGCCAGGGTGGGGATGGAGCAGGGTGGAGTGAGTGCCCCTATCCGTAGGGGCTCCAAGGAGTAGGCTGAGGGGGCTGGCTCTGCCCTGGCCTCTGGGAAGCCCCTCCACTTCCTTGCTGGGATAGCTCTGCCTCTCTAGGAACTGGCCTCTGTCTGTCTGTCTCCTGGGGACAGGACATAGGGAGGCAGATGTGGGAGAAGGTGGGTCTGGGAGGTCACAGTGCCATCTGAGGGACACCCCTTTTCCTGGGGTGGGCTGGGGCTCTCCTGAGGCTGCCCCTCTCCTCTCCAAACTCCATTATCTGGCCTGAATATAGTTTCTGAAATCAAACTCATCAGTCTCAACTTCCAGAAAAAGGTGGAGGACTTAAGTTTTAGGATCTGATGGAGCAGGTGGCCTCAATAAACAGAGACGACCACTGGCCCCTTCTTCCTGTCTCCACCTCTTTGGGTATTTTCCTGACTTGGGGGCAGGTAGAGAGGGATGGGCTGCACAGAGAGGGGAGACTTGGCTCGTGGATAATAAATAAAACAGCTTCTGTGTATTGAGCCACTACAGATACCGGGCACTGGGTCAAGCTGTTTGCTTCTTGACTTCATTTAAAGCCTACAAGGTAACACATCATTCATCCCAATATACGAAGAGGAAACTGAGGCTCAGAGAGGAAAGTAAGCTATTGGAAGGTCAGAGCTGGTAGGTGGCAGAGGCCAGATTCAGCCTGGGCTCTGTGCATCCCCTAACGGTCTCCCACCCAGATGGCCCCACATCCACCCAGAGGGAAGGGGAAGGTGTCCCCTCTCTGTTCTTCTTCCCCTCAGGCCAAGTGAGACTTCTCTCTCCAGCTATCTCAGTGGGAGATGTGGGTACCCACAGAGGGTTTCCTGAATAATGGATGCTTCCTGCCCTCACAGAGAAATTCAAGGTCAAAATAGCCACCGGTCACCCAGTTGTCTTTTGTTCTCATTTTCCCCCACATGAGCCTCTCCTTCCTCTCCCCTCCCTCTGGAGTGGGATCCCTGCAGTGGAGCCAGCCAGGCAGCCAGGCAGACCAGGGCTGGGCAGAGGTGGGCAGTGGGCGGGCGCCTTCCCTCTCCTGTTTGTCTTCAAGCGCCGGCTCCCGCAGCGCCCGGCCGGGGGACTTCGGGCAGGTCTGCTGATCTCTCCCGCCCTCAGTTTCCTCATCTGTTAAATGACCAAACCCACACCTCTTAGAGCTATTGTGAGGTATAAATTAGGCATGTAATTACTGTCATTTTTCACATTATGTAATTATGCACATATAAATCATGTGTTTATAGTTTATTAAAATTATTTGAGTTATTGAGTTCCTGAGGGGTGCCAGACAGCTGTAGTGTCTTATTTCATCTTCACATCCAGCTTCGGAGGTAGATACCACGATTCTTATTTCATGGGTGAGGATGCTCAGACTCCGAGAGGGGGAGACACTTCTTCAACGTCACACAGCAAGGGACAGAACTGATAGAGCTGAATCCAAATCCAAACCCTAGGTATTCTGTGCCCCAAATGCACCTGTTCTGGGCGGCATCCAGAGACCAGGAGGGCTTTTCATCAGCCCTGCAAGGCAATGGGCTAATGAAGCTCTGCCCTCTGCCTCCCTCCCTGTCTGTTAAGTCTGCAGCCTGTGTTCTCTGCCCGGGGAGAAGGGGTCACTCCACAGTGCCCCTCCCCAGCACGGCGGAAGCTCCCATGTGTATCTGTATGTCTGTGTGTGCACTCGTGTGTACGGTATAATTGTGAACTTTAGAGCCAGACAGACCTGGTTGCTAATTCTAACTTCACTCTACTGCTGTGTGACCTTGGGTAAGCTACCTCACCTCTCTCCGCCTCAGTGTCTTCACTGGTGAAATGGGGTCCTTGTGGTCATTGTGAGGTTGAAGAGAGAGAATCCAAATCATGTGTTCACATTGTATGTGGTGCACAGTGAATGCTCGATAAACATTAGCAATTACTAAGATGCAGATATCTGTGGGGGGGGGAGCGTGTCTATGTAAATGCATGTTTGTGTGTGTGTGGATGCAGAGCGTGTGATACAGGTGAACTTGTGTATCTCAGCCTGCATGATTTGGGTGGGTGGCAGCCAAGTGTGTCTGCGTGTGTGAGAGCTTAATCCTTGGACTGGCCACTGCCACTCTCTTGGATTCAGCAGTCCCTCGGAGGTCGCAGGTCACAGGGGTCCACGCCTCTGCCTCCCAGACAGGAAGAGCAGGGTTAGTTATCTACCCCTCCTGCTGGGACCCGGTCTGGCCCTTCCCTGGAGCTGCCCAGCGCAAGCCCTGCCCAGGGCGGGGGCGGCAGTGTGCGGCCCAGCTCCCACCAGCAGGCCCTCTCCAAAGAGCAAACTCAGCGCCCCACGGGCCGTAAACATCCCTGACATTCCCCCCGCTGGAACAGAGAGGCGTTTTTTTAGCAACAGACTCTCTTACCCAGAAAATGAAAGGGAGGTGTTGCCAGGAAATATGCATATACATACATATGTATACAGCACTGGCAGCATGCAAATAGCCTAAAAATAAATGCGTTTTCTTAATCAGAAATGTTAGGATCTGTGTCGCATCCGGTCCGGGCTCTGAGGAACAGGGGTAAGGCAGACAGCCAGGGCAGTGCAGATGAGGGAAGGATGACTGAGGTAAGGTCCTATCCCAGACTCCAGGCATTGAGGCCCAAGGAGCTAGCCCTGGGACAGAGAGCCACAGAGATACCGTGTTTGTGTCTCGGCTCCATGATAGCTGGGCTGTGTTTCTCCATGATCAGTGTTTGTGGGAAAGGAATCTGAGCAGTGATCCAAACGTCTGGCTCTGAGAAGTCAACCCTGGCACCGAGAACGGGATTCGATTGGCCCTGGGGGCCCCTTTGTGGCCTCTGGTGAGGTTTATGTGAGGTCACACCCCAGGAATGCTCTTGGACCAGAGACAGTAAGCGAAGGGGCCGAGCAGGCGAGTCCCCTCTCCTCTGCGAGGCCCCGGGCAGGCTGACCCGAAGAATGGGAACTCCCCAGGACAGAGAGGAAGCCGAGGCACGGAGGCACTCACCAGAGCCCACGGCCCCCCCTCCCACGCAGCTCCTGAGGTAAGACATCACCTCAGGAGATGGAACGGGGAAGTGTGGTGAGACGGAAATATTACAGCCTTCCTCCCAGACTCGGGGTTGTGGGAGAGCCTCAAGAACGGCCCCAGGAAGCCCGTGGGTGCCTTCTACAACGTCTCCCGGGGGGCTGCTCCTGCAGCCCAGGGACAGCAGGGCTCCCGTCTGAGGGAGGGCCAGACCGGCCTCGAGAGCAGAGCTTTCCATCTCTAACCAAACGGGCTTAAATCGTATCCCCAATTACCTAGCAGCTGGAAGACTTTGGGCAAGTTACTTCACCTCTCCAAGACTCTGTTTGAATAAAGGGTGGCTGTGAGGAGTACTCGGTGAGGCCACATACAGAAAGCCTTAGCACAATGCCGGGCACAGGGAAGTGCTCAGAAACGGTCAGCACAGTGTCATGGTTCATCTCTCATCCTGCACACAGTCCCGAGCACAGATATTTGTGGAAGGAATGAGCAAAGAACCGGACACGGATCCTGCCCTCAAGGAGCTCCCAGGCCAGCGGCGAACATGAAGAGGGATGTGACGGGGCCGTAAGGAGGCAGAGAAAGTGCCTGGAGGCCGGGAGAAGTTAAAACGCTTCTAGCCCTAACGGCACAGGTGGCGGGCGAGCTGGCCTTTGAGAGCAAGTCGACCGGTGGAAGAACAGAGCGAGGAAAGGCAAGACAATGGGGCCCTGGGGAGCCCCAGGAGCAAGACTTGTGCTCATGAAGATTCATCCATCATCCAGCTGGCTGGCCATTGGTTCTCTTGACTCTGAGCCCATCCCTTCCCCTCTCTGGGTCTCAGTCGCCACATCTGGAAAACGAGTGGATATAAACACACTCCTATCCCCACGAGGGGGAAGGGCATCTGCGAGGGGGGCAGGTAAGCACACCCCCCCCACCCCGGCGCTGGAGCTGGACCCAGCGGCAGCCCCGGCTCTACCTTTCTCCCGTGGCACCGCCCAGGGTCCCTTCCGTGTTGACATTCTGTGACTTAGTGACTACCCAGAAAGTCTCTAGTTCACACACTGAATTAAGCAATAGATCAGGAAGGAAAATCATGGAAGCAGCCAATGAAAATCAATGTTTTAAAACCAAGCCAGTAGAAAGAAGCATTACTGGTGGTTTCTTTGATTAGTGGTCGGAACCACATAGGAGTTTTCTGGTCTTACCTAACACTTTTGGTTTAATCCACATTTTCTGCAATGAGAACTTACTATTTTTTTTTTTTAAAGATTTTTATTTATTTATTTGAGAGAGAGAGAGAGAATGAGAGAGAGAGACAGCATGGTGGGGGGGAGTGTCAGAGGGAGAAGCAGACTCCCCACCAAGCAGGGAGCCTGATGTGGGGCTCGATCCCGGGACTCCAGGATCATGACCTGAGCCGGAGGCAGTCACTTAACCAACTGAGCCACCCAGGCGCCCCGAGAACTTACTATTTTTAAAGAGGGGGAAATTCCAATAAGTATTATTAAAAATGGAGCTGGAAGTCCTGGGTTTGTGTCCGGGAATGGTCAGTTACTGGCTTATGTGACCTGACTAGGCCCTTATTCCTTGGAGTCCAAGCCTCCGTGGGCTTGATGCCCCCAGAAGCCCCTCTGGGTTCTGACAATGGGTTCCTGAGACCCAGTCCAGCGGTCCCTCTGCTCAGGGTCTTGAGACCCCCTAGCAGTTTGGGGTACCTCATGGCAGGAGGGTGTGATGTGCCTCCTGGCGCCTGACCCTAGCTGGGCACACCTGTAGGGCTGTGAGTCAAGGCAGTATTAGGGAACGATTACAGACCAGCTGCTCCCTCCCCACCTAGGGAAGATCAGCCCTGGAGAGCCCTCGGCTAAGGCCAGTCTCCACTGTGCCACTGACTCGCTGGGATTCCCAAGGCGGGTCCTGTCCTCTCCATGCTTCAATTTCTTCACAGATGCAGCCAAAGCCACAAAAGGGAAATCAGAAGATGTCCTACCTTTTGAAGTTCACAACACCTTTTGGGATTCCCGTGGGGGTGTTGAAGGCCGGCAGAAGCTTCTCTCCCAGCTTGATGGCCTTTACTCGGAACACCTGTAAAGGAAGAAGCACAGGGCATCATGAATGGGGCTGGGTGGGTGCCATCCCCGCCCCAAGCCCCGCTCCTGCCGGCGGCGGATGCACCCAGGAGCTGCGGGCGCAGAGTGGGAGGGGGCGCTGCGTCCGGCTCTGGAGTCAGACGGGCCTGGATGTGAACCTGACTCCGCATTTCTGGCTACATGGCCTGAGTTGAGGCACCTCCTCTGAGCCTCAATGTCCCTCTTCAATCATAAAACAAGGCCACAGCGGCCTTCCTCAGAGGCTGTCGGGAGGAATGACAATTAGGTCATCGTTGTAAAGCCCGCAGGACAGTGTCAGGACTGTGACGAGGGCTCAGTGATTCCAGCTGTGCTTCCGGTGGCCGCCGAGGGGATGAAGGGGCCAGGGTGGCGGTCACCAACAGCCAGTGCCTGCCCACACGGTGGGGCCAGGACGCCACAGGTGGGGCGTGTGGGAGCACATCTGATGGAGTGTGAGGAGCACTAGACTGGGAGCCCTGCCCCGCCCCGGGTTCTAGTCCTTGCCTCGCAGCTCAGCTGCTGTGAGCTTCTCAGCAAAGCAACGCCACCCCGTGTGCAAAACCAGGGGAAGGGCCGGACATTCTGGATCTTCCCACCGTTCCCATTTTACAGACGGGAATGAGCAGAGAAGGTGAACGGTTAAGCTGCTGACATCATGGCCAAGGAGCCGTAAGGAGGCGCCCCGGCCTCAGGGCCCTGATGGAGGCTCTGACCCCCTCACACCGTTCTTCTAATTCAGAAGCACCTGTGACCTTCTGATGCCTCAGCTTCCCTCTTAGGAATCTATTCTAAGGAAATAAGTAATCAAGGATGTTGTAAAGATTGAACTTTAGGGCTATTTATTCCAGCATTGTTTATAATAGTGGAAAAACGAAGATATTCTAAACATCAAATACAGAAGTGGTTAAATTAGGACTTATCCATGCAACGGAATACCAGGCAGCCACTGGAATGATGTAGACAATTACTTAATAGCAAAGAAAGGGTTTGTAGTTTATTAAAAGAGTATTTTGAAATAGTATAATTCAACTTTAGTAATTATATGCACACGGATGTGTGAGGAACAGATGAGAAGGAAATACACCAAAATATTAACAATGCTCTCCTAGGGATGCAGGGTGGGCTCATGGAGGAATTTTGTTTTCTTCATCTGGCTTATCTCTCTTTCTGTGCTATTTTATAATAAAAGCAAGCCCACAGTAAATATTATTTATTTTTTAAAACGTGAGACGTAAGTTACTTAGCAACTGTTCTGAGTGGAACAACACACGTTTCCTTTCGCTTCCGAGCTCAAGGCCGATCCGGTTTGCCGACCTCCCGTGTGCGGCAACACCAAGTCCTCTTGAGTCCCCTGGCCCCAGTATGGGCCACTGAACGGCTGAGGCAGCTGCAGAGGGCCTGCAGTGGGGAGGAGTTAGCCGGACTAGCTGGGATGTGGCAGGGAGGCCTCTGAGGGCAGCTATGGCTCTTGCTCAGGAGGGGAGGCGGGGGAAGGGAAGAACCGCACCTGGGGCCTGGCAGGGACGGGCGAGAGGAGAGGACAGCGTCCAGCGCCAGACAGTGGGTCCCAGAAGTGGGCATGGGGGCCACTCACATCAGAGTCCCTGCGGAAGCGTGTCTAGAACCCAGATCCCAAAGCCTTGGCCCAGAAGCCACTGGTTTAGCAACAACAAAGGGCTCTCGTCTGAGGCACCTGATAGTGTCACTTGCCCCCCGAGAGGCTGAGCAGTAAGGCACAGAGGAACTGAACTCACACCTGACCCCAGTGCTGAGGCTCCAGGCAGCTGGCCGGCTGCCCTCTGCCCTGAGGACTCCGAGCTCAATCTTCTTAAATGCTCTTAGGAATTTCCACGTCTCCACCTTTGGAAAGCCCTATCGCTGGCAGGCACTGCAGGATCTCAGCCACACCAGGAAGGATGCTGAGTGAGTGTGTGTGGACCAGAGGGGTACCACTGGGAACAGAAGAACACGAGTCCTACTTATTCTCTTGGAAGTGAGTAGGTGTGGAACAGATTCTGAACCTGATTCCACTGTGTGTGCGGGGGGGTGTTTCCCCATACCACCAAGCAATTCGCCAGACACCAGCTGGGTGCCCTATAATTCAACCCAGTTCTGACACTATCTTCCCGGAGACAGCATCAGATTCCAGTTTGAGGATTCAGTCCTTACAAGACTGATGCCCCCCCCCCCCGCCCCCCCACTTCAGACACCATTCCTAAGTCCAGCCTGTTACCTGTGCTTCTGACCCACGGTCTCTAAATCAGAGGTTCTCACAAACCTCTCTGTGGGTTTGATTAATTTGCTAGAGCGCTTCACAGAACGCAGGAAACATTTTACTTAACTGGTTTATTATAAAAGGATGTAGCTCAGGAACAGCCAGATGGAAGAGATGCTTACGGCAAAGTATGAGGAGAGGGCACAGAGCTTCCATGCCTTCTCCAGGAGTGGTGCTTTCCCCAAATCTCCCAGTGCTCAGCCACCCTGGAAGCTCCATGGCCCAGTTCATTACATGCACACGACTAATTAAACCACTGCTAATTGGCTCCTGATTCAACCTCCAGCCCCTCTCCCGTCCCTGGAAGTCAGGGTGGTGGGACTGAATATAACAACCCTCTCACCTTGTGGTTGGTTCTCCTGACAACCAGCCTCTATCCTCAGGTGGGGTCCAAGAGTCACCCAATTTACATAACAAAAGGCACATTTATTGCTCTCAGTGCTTAGGAAATTCCAAGGGTTTTAGGAGCTCTGCCAGAAATGTGATGAAGACCAAATATATATTACTTATTATAAATCACAATATATCACTGTGCCAGGTGTCTTATCTACACGACCTTCAATCCCTGCAATAACCTGGTGGGGAGGGTGTTGACCACGTTGAGGATGAAGCAATCTGCCCAAGGTTGTGGAGCCCGTAAGTGCTATCAGCGGCTTTTCCAGCACAGAGAAAGGCCGGCAGCCATGGTAAGCCACAGTCAGGGGCCCAGAGGTTCCAGAACAGAGGTGAGAGAAACTAGCAAGAATTCTATTCTGTAGAGTGGAAAGTTCTCCGGGCTGCGAGTCAGAGCCCAGGTTCAGATCTTCCCACTTGGCAGCTGTGCGACCTCAGGTGAGCCACGTACTGTCTCTGACCCTCGTCTGCACAATGGAACTGCTCATGTGCCCTGGATGCTTCAGGGATTCTGAGCCACTGGGGCTTAGCAGGGAATTTTCTGCGTCCCCTGGCGGCAGGGGGTAGGGATGATATTTGTCTCAGGGTGGACAGAGCAGGGAGAAGTGCAGGGAAGGGAAAGGCCAAAGCCAAGGCATCCAGCCCTAGAGCAGCGGTTGCGTTGAGCAGTGTGGCCCTCTGGCTAACGGGGAGCACAACAATGGATGACCCATGTCCTGGGGACTTGGACAACCTCATGCCCAGATACTTGGGCTGTGCTTTCATGGGAGCTGACGAGGGGATGAAGAGCCTCCCATTTCTACAGAGCTCTGTGGTTTTCAAAATTCTCTTGCAGCGTGGAGAGTATGGGCTTTGGAGCTGGTCAGCTCGGGGTCAAACCTTGTCCCTCCTGTCCCATTTCACAAGAGTTCTGTGAGCCGATCCCCACGGTGGGGAAGGAAGCGAGGCCCAGGGGTGGGAGAGGACTTGCTCAAGGTGTGGGGATAAGACCCAGGTTTTCTGACTCTGTGCCCAGGGCTCTGCCTTCTCCCCACACTTCTCAGCCCTTCTGCTGGAAGCCGATGCCTGGGGCTGAGGCCTTGCACTTAGGGCATGTGACCAGCAGTCCCATGTCCCGTGGCCGCTGGAGGCCTGGAGCGGTGGCTGGCTGGTGGCTGGCCCAGGAGGGGAGCAGACAGGGGTGGCTGTGGAGCAGGACAAGGCCAAGGGCCCCTAGCGGTGGAAATTGTGAAACAGTGGTCTTGGCTTCATCTATCCTGAAAACCAACACCTGCAAAAACCAGTCCAGCAGCTCTACAAGCCCGAGCTGAGCCCAGAGCCTGCTCGGTGCTGTGTGGGGAGCTGCATGGATGGTGTGAAGAGACTAGTCGTGCTCCTTAAAGAATTCACTACCCACGTGGGAGCCCGTGGGGCTCACCTGGGCAGCAGAAGGGAAGCATCAGACAGAAGGTGAGGAAGAGTCAGCAGGTGGCACCGCGGACGTTGGGTGGACTTGGGTAGCCCTGGGCAAATCCCCTTGCATCCCTGTTTCCTCACTGGTGAAATGAGGGAGTGGGATTGGATGTTCTCCGAAGTCTTCTCACACCTGAAGGGTCCAGGGGCCTCAAAGGGCCAACTTACCTCTTCTCCCGTCAGGTAGAAGGCTGAGAGGAGTCCTCCGATGTACCGGATGTTCACCTCAAACAAGGATGCTTCTCCACTCTGCAGGGCCGCAGGAAAGAGCAGTGTGTGGGGGGGGAACCGGGGTGGGGGAGAACACTTGTGAGCCGCCTGCAGGGCTCCCAGGGACAGCCAGGCCCTTGAGACAGGTCACTCCGGCCCCAGCCTCCCCCCCACCCCTCCACCCTGTTGGCCTGGCTACCCTCATGCTGAGCTCCGGCACCTTGCCTGGCAGGCCGGGCTATGCTGGGCGGTGGTTTTTTGAGCAAAAGTTGAGAGGGATCAGCACCTGCTTGGCAGGCCACTGCAGCACGTTGACAGCATTAGGAATAAACACTGGGTTTGGCTTCCTTCCCCAGCCCTTGCCGGAGGCCCTCGGAGCAAAGTTGTGCCTGGCTGCTCTCCAGGCAGCTCAAGAACTTGGTGGGGGAGCTGGGGCTGAAGCTTAGCCTGAGGGGAGGCAAATTCTTTAGTCCAGCCACCTCCCCTTCCTGCGGGAACTTCCCGGCTTAGCAGGAGGGAGGGGAGACAGGGGGAAGACAGGGGGAAGACAGGGGAAGGTTCTCTGAGGAGGTTCTGGGGCAAAGGGGACAAAGCCGAGGCTGACAGGCAAGGGTGCCAGGCAGACACTTGCAGGCAAGCAGCAATTCTCAGCCTCAGGTCTGCGGCCCACAGGGCATGTCCACAGTTGCCTTAATCTGTGCTTTCTTTCTTGGGTCTGGACTGCAAATCCGGGGTGTTGGGGCATCATGCCAAGGACCAGCTCTAGGTTAAAATCCCACCTCAGCCTCTTACTTGGCTTTGGGACGTCGGGCAAGAGATTTAGCTTTTCTCTGCCCGAGGTTCTTCACCAGGAGCAGGGTGGCTCTGAGGCGCTGAGGGGTACAGCTGAGATACCCGCCCAGCGCCCTGTGTGGCTTCCTAAAGGTGCCCGCTCTGACCTCCCCTGCGCCCAGCGCTCCCCACATCACAGCCTTTTACCGCTAACAACACGCAGTGACCATCCCTTCATGTGGGAGAGCCTCGTGAAACAGAAAACTGCAAAGCCATTCTCTCTTTTAGCCTCCCCGTGCTCAGCGAGGTCACCATTCCCATTTTCCAGATGAGAAAGCCAAGGCTCAGAGAGGGGATGTGACCCTATCTTGCTTTCTTCCGAGGACCTTCCCTAACCTGCCCCAGCTTGCTTGAATGTCCCCAGGCTCCCCGGACCTGCCAGCACCTGGCACCCTAGGTAGCTGCCTGATGCCCATTCTCTCTCCACCATATGCACAGAGGCAAGGTGGGCCTGTGAAGATACCCCTTCCTTCTCCCACCTCGGCCTTTCTCAAATTCAGGAAGGATTGTAAGCTTCCTCACACAGACTACCAGAAGGCATAACATGCCTCAGAATAATGGTAATGATGAGGAGGAGGAGGATACCACTCTACATCCAGATCAGACTTGATTGTGTTATGATGCTTGTTATAACCCTCCGCGGTAGTTCACCTCACAACAAGCCTGTGAATTAGGCAGTGTCATTGCTGGGGCCGACCAAATGGCTCCCAATCCTCTCACCTATCTCCTGAGGGCAGCAGAGGGTGGGGTGGGGGCTCCGGGTCAGAGCAGCTCTGAGCAGATAAGCCCCTTCGGTTGCCACTGTTCTGTTCTACAGATCCAGCCCTAGAAGGGACTTCCTGGGTGCCTGGCACTGCAGGGAGGGGAAGGAGGGGTCGTTGGCTGTCTTCCCTTCCTGAGGAGAAGAGGCTGGTAAATACTCATGCGCTGGCCAGGGCTGGAGGGATCCCCCACCTTGAGGCTGGTCTTAGGAGAGGACAAAGTAGAGAGTGCACGGAGCCCCATTTCCAGCACTGCTCTGCTGGGCGGCTTGGGGCCAGGGTCTCTGGGTCTCCGAAGTGATAGGGTGGAGCTGGCCACTGACCTTCCAGGCCCCTTTTGGCTCTAACACTCCAAGGGTCTCTGACTCACCACGTTCAGGTGGAAGTTCTCTTCAACCCAGGTCTTGGCCTCCTGGAACTCCTCCTGCAGCTCCATGAGGTAGAGGGTGTCAAGGGAGTCAATGATGGTTGCCCCACTGAGACCTCCTGTAGGCACAGAGATCGAAGGCATGACCCAGGTTTGTTCCTATCCTTTCCATCCTCAGCCACATAAGCCCTCATTCCCCGGCCCCTTCTAAGTGCCTGGGCAAGCTCCAAGGCCAAGGCTGGCCCAAGCACGATCCAGGGAGACTCCACCAGTATTCAAAAGGGGGGAGTCCAGGAGCAAGCATCCCCCCTCCCGCCCACCCTAGGCTGCTTCCTGGGCAGTGGGCAGTGGGCAGCAGGCTGGGAAACCGAGTTCACAGGCCGAACCGCTTCCTAGACCTTCAGGGTCCACACATATCCACCCGAAAGTCAACCATCAGTACCAGCCAGGCACCCACCACTTTTCTGTGACACGGGGGAGAGGGCGAATCGGTATTGGGTTTACTCTATCTTAACAAACATGCCAGTCCTCTGACTTTTCAATTTCATTCTTCATTTTATTCTAAGACCAAAAAAAAAAAAAAAAAAAGATGTTCACAAATATTTATCCAGGAAGATATTTATTGCAGTACCAGATACAATGGAGAAAAGATGGGGAAAAAACTCCAAATCCAACAGTAGGGGATTAGTTATATAAATTGTGGCTTAAATATAAAATAGGACATGATGCAGCCCTCCCTGCAGGTGAGGTAGACCTGCGTTTACTGGGGAAATATCCATGGGATCTGTTAAGTTAAAAAATGTAGGTTGCAAAAAAAAGGAAAGCAGCACAGTATAATTTCTTTGTTGTATGCCAAATGTGGATGAGCTTTTGCAGAACTAAGTCTGGCAGGATGTGATCAATGGTTATCTCCAAGTGCTGGGATTACAGGTGCTTTTTGATTTCTTCAGCTCATGGCTTATTTTTATAACCAGAAATGTATTTCCATTTGAAAAAAAAAAGTTTGGACAAAGAAGCCACACAAATGCACAAAGCAAAGATTTTGTGGCCGCTCTAGGACAGTGAGTACAGAAAGCACAAGCTATGAGACCAGGCCCCTGCCACCGGGCCTTAGACTCTTGTCCTGGGAGTAAAGGCTGAGATAATGGTGTAAAATATCACAGCTTTCCACACCACAGACTGGACAGGAGAGTGATGAAGAAGGCCTCCCCATGTGGCACAATCAGAGCCTGAGTGCAGAGTACTGTGAAGGAGGAAAGGAGGGAGAAAGAGATGTGCCTGGGGTCATCAGGAGGGCTTCCTGGAAGAGGTAGCTCCCTCCCAGCAACTCCTTAAAACTACAAGTAGGAGCAATTTCCTTTAGAGACCAGCATTTAGCTTAAGAGGACTGATTCTTCGACTGATTGTTCCTTCAGTGTCCTTGCAGAGGCTCAAAAAGCAGTGAGAACCACAGGCTCCACCTTCCCCCAGCGGGCTGAGCCTCTCTAGAGTCTGAAGCATGAGCATGGGCTTTGCGGGCACACCTGCATTCAGAGGTAGCATCTAATCTCCTTAATTAGTGCTTCCCTAACTGCTCACTTGTGTTGACTTTGCAGGCAGAGACTCCTGAAACTCAAACCACCACCTCTCTAGGCCGGGCAAGGTCTTATAAAGGGCATGGCCTAGAAAAGGATGGGAGGGAGATCAGGAGAAATTGGGAGAAGGATCAGGCTGGAGGTTTCCGAATCCACTTCAAGAAGCAGGAGCTTCCCGATCCAGAGTCAGGCATCCCAGGTTGGTTTCAGTATTGGGGTGGAAGTGAATTTCCAGAATGTCAACCCCTCCTATGCTGAAGGATTGGTAGGAAAACACCCAAAGCCAAACAAAGTTGATCTTTCCTGGTTTGTGCTGGCTGCTTCCCCTGCAGGTGCCAAAGGCCAAACACGGCTCACGGGAACGCTTTACCGTGAGGTAGAGAGGTAGTGAGGCATGAAAGCACGGATTTACCCCAGATGCCACAGTTGCTGAGAAGCGCCTGCCTGGTGTCCATCCTCTTGGCTCCAAGCTTATGCCACAGGGCCTCACACCTGATTTTTTAAGGGCCTGAAAGGATTTTTAAGATCCCACTACCCTGCCCCTAAATTTCATAGAGGACCCCCAGAGAAGGGTTGGGACATGCCTAGGATTAGACCAAAGGAGGAGAAGAACCCAAGTTCTCTTGTTTCCCTGTGAAAACGGTCGGATCTGATTGCTAACCGTGCCCCACCCCCCAACGGGGCAGGAGGCCACTGTGACCCGTGAAGGCTTGAAGAGAAGCTCAAGGCCAAGGGCGACGCGGCCCAGAGTATCTGATTTCCGAATCCTGCCCTGGGCTGCCTGGTGTTTTCACCCCACGGGCCCTGCTTCCCTGGGCTGAGCCTGAGCCCGGAGCCCCGAGGGCCTAGGCTGGGCCAGGAAGGCAGCCAGGGCTCCTGGTGACCGGTTCTCCTGCCCAAGTGCTCCGAGAAGGCAGCTGAGAAGGCAGCTCACTGAGGGATTTATTGACAAGGCTCCACCCTGTTCTCAGGTTCCTGCATCTTCCCTCGGATGATCTCTCAGCCCGGCCCACATCTATTGTGCAGCCAGGCTGCGGGCCAGCTAGGCACTTATTGGAAAGCCTTTCATTCTAGGCCAGAGGTTACCCAGCGGCCAGCCTGGGCAAGAGGGAAGGCCCAATCCCGAATTCAACTCTATCTGTACCTGCAGCCGGCCTGGGGCGGCTCCCCGGGGGGAGATGGGGGGAAACACACGCACCTATTCAGTGAACAGGCACAGGATTTCTATGCACAGAGCCAAAGGGGGACAAAAAGTCAGGCAGCCGGCTTGGAAGCTCCACTGGGCTTGTCCCTGAGGCAGGCTCCAGGTTGGCTCCCTCTCCCACCCCCAGCTCTGAACCCTTGCTGTTCACAAAGGACCGACCCACCCCTGCCTGCCAGCCCTGGGTTCAAACCCCAGCTTGGGCCAGCAATACATCTACTCTCAGTGTCAAAGTTTTCTTCTGTTAAGTGAGGGAAGACCACTGGGTTAGGTACTGGGGAGCCACTGCAGGTTCCTGAGCTGGGAGAAATGCATCACATGTGTGCCTGGCCTTTCTGACAAAGACACCTGTTTGTGCCTGGCACAGAATAAGTGCTTGATCAATCAGTTCACTGTTCTTATTCCTGGGGTCCTGTAGCTTATCTTGAAACACTGGCCCTTTCAAGGAGATGTGGGTTCAAATTCTGGTTCCATCACATACTAGCTGTGTGCCAAGGTAAGTCACTGTACCTTTCTGAGTCTCATGTTCCTCGTCTTCAAAATGGGGATGAGAGTGGGACCTACTTCATAAGGCCACAGGGAGGCCTAAATGGGGCGATGGACGGAAAGGAGCTGGCACAGTGCTGGGTACCTGTGAGCTTAACCCAACTGCGCGGCCCTCCTTGCCCCCAGCTGGCCCTGGGCAGCCCCTCCATAAAGTCTTCTGGGGTCACCCAGGCCTTGGAGCGCTCTTGCATCTCTTGCATCTCCGCATCTCTTGCATCTCTGGCCCCTCCCAGGCCAGTGTGGCATGAGACTGCAGCTTGCAAAACCTTTGGCCCAACTTAAAAGTGTCACATGGGTCCCACCTGTGTCTGCTGCTGAGGCCATTAACACCCCTAATCTGGGTGTGCACCTAGCCTCTCAAAAGGTCTTCTTACCTCCTGGACCCCTGCCCTTCCCCTCAAATTCACCCTGAACACTGTTACCTGACCTGTCTTCCTGAAACCAGATCCAATTGTGTCCCTCCTCAGCTCAGAAGCTGCAATGGCTTTCGAGTGCCCGTGCAATAGGGGAGGGAGGGGTGAAGCTTCTGGGTCTTTGCTAAAGGACCTGGCTAATCTCATCTCCCATCAAGCTATGCTTCCTGGACACGTGCCGTGCCGCACCCTCCTGCCTCCATACCTTTGCATGTGCGCTCTCCTCTGCCAAGAAAGCTGTTCTGTGCGTCTGGGCATACTCAAAGCTCCCATGTTCTCAAAGGTCTGCCTCCCCTGATTCTACCCATCTAACCCCCTCTTGCTGAGGGAGCTCCCAAATCATGTGCCTACCACTCCTGCCCTGCCTGCACTGTGGGGCTTGGCTCACCTTCTAACTAACCGTGAGCTCCTTCAGGTCAAGGGTCCCCACTGCCTCTCTGCTCCTCTTCTGCACCTTATCCCCAAGCAGCCCCAAAGGCCAGAGCCCTCAGCCCACGTGGGCCACTCGCCATCCCCTGGGGCCTCGTTATAGCCCCGACTTCCGTGACTCTTCGCAGACTGCCAGCACCTGCCTCCCCCATCCCACCTTCTCCTGAGCCATCTAGAGCCCACCCGGTGTCTCCCTGCCCAGGAAGCCACGGAGATCACCACCCTGCGGCCTACATGAGGTTCTGCCTCCCTGACCTTCCTCTCCTGAGAAATCTCCACCAGCTCCTCCAGGCCCTCACCCAGGGCCCTGTTCTGTGCACCCCCATCTCCAGAACAAGGGCTGCTCCCCTCTCCTCACACCACAGAGGAATTGTCAGTCTGTCCCTCCGTAACAGCAGGGCTCTGGTCTGCTTCAGACTGGTCTCCAGGCTCCAGCAACAGCTCCCAGTGAAAGTGGGCAGAGGAAGGGCCAGGAGCAGGCTGGTCCATCTCCGACGGCCACACATACTCTCCCTGGCATCGCGCTTGCTCTCAGCTGACCTTGGCTTTCAGGATGCCACTCTTCCTGTAGCCTTTCCTTCTAACCTTGTGACTGGGCCTGCCCAGTCCCCTCTGTGGGTCCCTCCTCTTCTCCAGACCTCTACGGACGGGCTCCGTTGTTGGGCCTTTTCTCTTCCCTGCCCTCCCTCATTCCCTTAGTGATTCAGTACCACCCGCATGCTGAGGGCTCCCAGATGTCCACTCCCAGGACCTGTCCTCGAACCCCAACTTCCCCTATCCAGTAGCCTCCACTCCTATCACCACTGGGAGGTCACAGGCGGCTCACCTTTAACCCGTTCCTCCAAATCCGTTCCCCAACCACAGTGGTTAACGCCAAGCCCCTCCTTCCAAAAGCTGTGCCCCAGCCCTTGACTCTGCATTGCTCTTCCCCACATCCCATCCCGCGGCGAATCCTGGTGGCTCACTTCACAAGATTTCCAG